ATTCAAGTAATTCACTCTGAAATAACGTCACCCACTACCTGCAGTTTGCTAATGATAAAGTACTCCGAGTAAAGAGCGATATTGTTTCCCTTCGTGTTCTCTACCTATATATATATATATATATATATATATATATATATATATATATATATATNTTGTTTGCTCATGAAATGCACGCATGATGTAGCGTTTGGCATGAAGTTTTCGAAATCATCCATGTCTAAAACTCATAACGTTTCGCTGCCCGTCGACTGGTTTTCACATTAAAACCTTAGTATGAACCTCTTCAAGTGCACAGATGTTTTATTTCCTTTACCAAAGGGCGGCATATATGTTGAGGTAATGAAATAAAACCAGTGTTGCGTCACCAACGAAGAACCAGTTTCCAGATGGCGCACCATCTGACTGGTTTTATACCCGGTTGAGGTTGTATCGACCATATTTCCACTCTTCGCCGAATTCCGGAACAGACAATCTTTTCGTGGACCCACCATTTACATCTTTCCCTGTCTGAAATCGGCCTTCGACTCTGTCAACCGATCTAACCTGACACTACGTCTCCCTGGAGGATATGCCTCAGAAGTTCATTTCAATATTATGATCCCTTTACATCATTAGCCGAGGCCGAGCAACAGTTCAAACAAGGACAATTTATCTTAATCCTGCCTACTTAATCGCCAAGCTTTTGCGCCGTATAGCAGAACTAGCCGAACTGTCGCAGCATACACCCGACCCCTCACAGACAGCCGGATGTCGCGACGGCGCCACAGATGTCTCAAGTTAGCAAATGCCAACTGAGCCTTCTGTACGCGAACTGACACTTCATCCCTGCGAGTGAGATATAGCTGCCCAAATAACAAAACTCATCCACTTGCTCTATTACCTCCCCGGTTAGAGTGAGGCTGGCTTCTGGACCAACTCAGTCTTGTAGTAACATTTTACAGTTTGAAGGTGCAAAACGTGTACCGAACATGGCTACGCTGGCGCTCAAGTTATCCAGAAAGGCTTGCAACTTGCCTGCTCTCGTGGGAAAACCGGGCAATGCTGAGATAAGCGCAGTTTTAGGTGACCGCGGTTGCCCCATTGAGCAAGTGGTCGAACCCCATAGATTACGTTGGTTGGGGCATGTGTTATTCATGCCACCAACTTGAGTGTCACGGTGAGCGTTTTTTCTCAGTCTGGTCAACGGTTGTAAAAACGTGAAATACCTCCGACTTATCATTTCTGGTGATCTCCTTTGGTCTCCTCATATCACCGAGATATTTAAAAACGTCAAGCTCATTTTACACGTTATCTGTTTTAAAATGCTATATACCCCAATCCACTGGATAAAACAGTGACGCTCATGCACCTACTCATTATTCTTGTAACTTCAGTCTATGAAAATGTGCTACCTTTCGCTTAAATTTGCCCTCAACATTCTAATCATCATTCGGTTATTTCATTCAAATGGGCAACCAAAAGACAGTAACCAAAACCGGCACACGAAAGTACATGGTTAACGGTTGTAAGAACTGAACTAAACTGAACTGGATAAAACGTTTTATCTTCTGCTGCATCGTTTCCTATTTTCTTTCTGAATCCCAAGTTATCTCTTCCGGTCATCTTATCAAAGATTTCAAACTCATAAGTATACCCACCAAACGGTCATAAAAATACAGTGGCATATTTGACGAACTTCCCGAGCAGTTTTTAATTTCATAGCACTTTATTGTTTACCAGAAACTTTCTGTCAGAATACTCCCAGACCCATCTCACCACCTTTACTTACACCTCTACATCTACCATTCACTCCTAGTATAAGCACAGCAGGACGCACTACAACACATGTATTCTGTAACACCGTAACTTGCACGGTTTCTTACAAACGGCGACCTTTTTAGTATCGAGAAGTGATTGTGTAGCAGCTGAATCTTCGTCTTCCATGGGGCGAATTGAAGCGTTTTGTTGACTGATTTGATTTTGCCGATGTTTGCATCACTATCGGCATCATTATCAAACAGCGAAGTACAGTGGGGCGAACTTCGTTTATCGCTACCAAGATCAGATTACGCAAATAACATAAGGTGGTTAGGGAGTGAGCCTGTTTTGAATGCAGGGGAGAGAAAAAGAACCTCTGAGGTCAGCACACCGCATAAAGTCTAAGTATGCGCATACAAGTTCCTCAGGCTTTCTGAGTTGATAAGAAATGGTAAAAAAAAGCGCCACTGCTAGTAGTTTACGGCAGTTCTTCCGTGCTTCCAACCAACCAGTGCCAGAACCTTGTGTACGCTCACCTAGAAGACAGGAGACACCTACTCGACCTAATCTTTCTGTATATTTCTTCATGCCTAGTTATGTATTTCACAAACGACTGCGCTCAGACTGTGTGCTAAACAAACCATGGTTAATATTCTTTATAAAATAGAGAAACGTTAAATGATTTCATGTGGGCTGAATACTGTCAGGTTTCCCAGGCAAAGGCAGGTGAATTTTCTGGGGAGTTTACAACCGGAGCCTTTGGTGAGCCAAAGCCTGCCCAGCAAGGCAGCGGAGCAGTGTGGGAAAACCGCATTCCATTGGGGGCCGGTGTCCAGTTCTTCGGATCATATGCCTTCTGGACGGGGTCAAACATCCAAGGTGTCCAATACACCTCAATGCAGAACTGAGCCGGTGACCGCTGCCACAACCAGGAACGTGTGTGTGTGTGGTTCGTACACTTAGTTATCTGTTCACCTGAATGTGATTTTCTCCGCCTCGGAGAAGCAAATGTAAACAAGGCGCAGTGCGGAAGACGATAGCGTTACACGTCCTAAGCAGTGAAATTCATTAATTCGGATTTGGACTGACAATGAATTCTCCACGGAAGAGCACCGAAATGCCATAGCTTAACTCGAAATTACTTATGGGCTCGCTTCGGTCGACCAGTGTTAAACTACGTAAACACTGATGATCGAAGAACTTCAGTCGATGGATCTCCTCCACACAAATTCAAGACCGCATAGTACTGGCCTAACTGTGACACAATACACGAAGCCGTTCAACTTCAGTGGAAAGTCACGACGACAATGATGCATCGGTGCTCGACCAACGGAAATGTTTGCGGTTACCTCCATTGTTGCGCTAACACCATTCGTCAGCAACTGCACAGGTAAGAGTAATCCACTATAGTCAATTACTGAGCATCTAGCTTCAAAACAATGATACGCAGCCTTGCAGCATCTTTTGGCACCCTGGAGGTGCAAAATGCACACGAAAGGAGTAACAGAAATTAGCGGATAATGAGTGTTCACCAAAGCTGTTGAAATCAAACGAATATCATAGCACAGATCATACACCACTTCATTATTCCATAATTATTTAAGCATAAAAACATTCATCCGGAGTTTAGATATCAGATTTAAAAAGATGTGAGGGATGTTTATATCTTGCTTGATAAGTCAAAATCAGGTTCGTACACATTCCAGTGATTTACTGGAAAAAGCAGTCTTTGTTATGACTTCTCCCAAAATGTTGAGTTTACTTCATAAAACTATCAACTACACATGGGTACCGTGATCTCGGTTGACATGCATTGAAGAACCCAGTTGAATAACCTAATGAAAGAAAAGGGAGGGTTCAGTTTCAGTTTATAATACGCGAACCCTTACATTCTTATGCAGAGGTTTTAGTTGCAATTTTTGACTTCCCACTTACGCAGAGAAGCAGAGGGAAAATTAAAACGTCGGAAGCAGTGGCAATGTAAAAATAGAGAATTCCGGAAGACTAATGTTGGAAAGAGATTGAGAGGATGCACGAGCGCTGCTGTATACGACACTCAGTCATCACTTGTGAGACCCTGAATTTGCGAGTAGAAGATATCCGTCGACTAGAAGTTTTCGATCATCGGTGTTTACGTAGTTAAGCCCATGTGAGATGGAGCGAACGGGTTGGTAACGTGGAGGTAAGCCGTCGTGTGTTTGGGAGTCTATCAGGTATAAACCTGCTAGCACACCAAATTCAGATTAGTAGACTTCGCTGGCTAGGGCACGCATTGCGTATGCCCAGATGTCGTCTGCACACCGCGCCTTATTCGCTGTAGCTAATCCGGGCTGGGGGAAACCACGTGGAGGTCAACAGATGACGTGGAGACGATGCATGAAGAAATGCACAGGGCCATTAGGTAGAGTAGGTGTCCCACCTTCCGGGTTGGGGTCCGAACGACTACACAACTGGTTAGTTGGATACATTGAAGGATATGGCAACGAGCCGACGGCAGTGGCGTTCTTGTTGTCGTTTCTTATCAGTTCAGAATGCTTGAAACGGTATGCATGCAGAGTTTGATTGCGCACTCTCTGTGTGTTGACCATAGAGGTTCACCTTCTCCCCCTCTCTCAAAATAGGTTCAATCCCTGTTCACCTTAAATTTTACCACTAACCTTGTATGCATTGCGAGTGTGGCAGCGATCAGTGAAGTTCGCCTCACTACATTTCGCTGTACGATGATGATGATGATGATGAACCACCGATTACGTTGATTACGAGGTACTGAGTCGGAGGGCTCAATGGAACTTACACTACTGACGCCTCTGGTGAGGATTACCACACAATCACTTTATTTACTTTACTGCAGATGGCTCCTGGGAGAGGATAAACCGGCGTCATGGATACTTCATGAAATTTCTTGGGAGTTATGTAAAGGAAAAGATCGAGGTAGTATCTTTAGCCTCTGCACATTCAAGTGCTAACTACAAAGCAACAGATAGGTGGCGCATGGTTGCCGGTGGCCCTCTGGGGAGGGGCTTATATGTCAGATAGTTTCTAGCTGAACATGGGTCCATGCATCCCTGATGATTACTGAGCCATTGCCTTGACCGTAGAATCGTGTAAACGACTTTGTCCGCCCAATGAGTTAGTACCCCCATCATTCGTTAGACCCCGACTCGCAGGGAGATGAGTTCCCGGTAACCCTCAACCTTGTTTGGCCCGCCTGTCGAGCGGTTTACCGGGGTGTGGCTGTTGTTGCATCTAGACAGCTTTTTGGAGCCATAGATGAAAGCTGAGCTTACGGTGGAGACCAAAGAACGGAGGATGACCCCAACGGGACGACAGCCCTACGAGTCAGAGATGCAACCCCTATCGGGTACCCCATACACCCCTATCACAACTACGCTTGATTGTAGTTGGATTACCTTTAACCTTCTTCCAACCACCGCCTGTCATGTAACAAATCGCATTTGAGGCAATCTGTTTGGCGAAGCGCAACAACCGTCCCAGCTAATTTAATCAACGGAGGTCGAATACTTGCACCAGGGGACGACCACAATCGCGTAAAACACTAACAGCTGTAGTAGTGTAGCTGCTCGGTTGTTTGAAGACTCAAGCAATGCAAAGAAGACAGGTGTTCGAACACCGACGGTTTATCTTTATCCTGTTATCTTAATGATCAAGTTTATGCACCATATAACAACATTAAACAAACTGCAGCAGCACACACTCAGCCGTTCACGGACAAACGAATGCCGCAACAGTTTCA